ACTTGCCTTGTATCAATATAAATTAAGGTAGGTGCACCAATTTCTTCTTTTGTAGACTCATCTTTACAATTCGACGTGAATTCTGAACTCGCAACTTAAGTTTCTTCGTGATATTGGATAGAGTAGATTTGAAGCACAATTTTATCATTACCTTTTCCAATGGTCAATGTACCATGACGCTAGTCATTTCGAGCTTTAGCTTGATACAACCATGGTCGCCATAATAAAATTGGGTATGACGATATAGAGCTTTGCAATCGAAAAACAATATGATCAATTTTGTAGATAATTTTTGTAATTACTGTATCAATACTTTGTAAAATATCCATAGATTTAACTCAACTAGAGTCAGCCATTTTCAAAACTACTGTAGTAGGCAATAAGTGATCCAAATCCAACTCCTCCATTGTAGTGGCATTCATAAGATTTACACTAGATCCTCTGTCTACTTGCACTCTCAATAATAACACTCCATCAATTGAGACATCAATCGTAGGTGCACCTAGATCGGGATTCAAACTTACTTCTCGGATTTCTTTATTTTGAGATCTGTAACAAATTAATGAGGAATTTAAGATAGTTCGGGACTCAGATGCTACCGCCAATAGTTGATTCATAGAGAACATGGGCTATATGATGCCCAAATATTTTAGAATATCACATGGTTCTGTATTAGTAGTAATTTCCAATGTCCATTTCTTCTTCCTAATCCTAGACATCGACGCAGGTAAATTAGTTTTCTCTATATTGAAAATTGATAGAGCTACTGTAACTAAATTTGACAGATTGTACAATCGTTTCTTTCAACAGATAAGATTGTTCTCCCAATTGGACTGATATTGGTTCCTTGGAATTCACGCCTCTTAGAGGATCTTTCAATGGAAAGGACGTTTCTTAAAACTGTGTAGAGAATGGAACAGCTCAATATGGAATTGAAGCCTCCATAATCGGTACCTCATTAGGGTGCACAACCGATTCAGGTCTTATACTGAGTAAGGGACCCATGTCAGGACCTGAATTGGATGTCTCCATAATTGAGTCCAGTTGGCCCTTCGCTTCAAAATCACCCAAATGTTGAATTGATCCTTTCTCCTTTTGCTCACTTCTTGTAAGGATAGCTTGGACTACTTCTACATGATGAACTGGTGAATCTTGAAGACCTTGATTTATCTCCATTATTTTGCCTTGGCTTTGGATTTGTTGATCTCGATTATTGAAATTGAACGGAGCATTACATTGCTGATAAGTATGTCGCGACTGCTTGTAATTCGTACATATTGGAGCATACTTGTCATTGGCTTTGGGATTAGGACATTCACTAGCATAATGACCAATCTGTCTGCAATGAAAACAATGAAGTGGTCTTCTTGCACTCCCATCCGGCATATTGGGTGTCTCCATCGATATATACCTACTAGACTTGTTCCATGTAGGATTAGAAAATGATCTTAGTTGTTCCGTTTGTATGGAGGATACTTGGTTCGATGATGTCAATGGAACATATTGCTGATACCTTTGCTGTTCCTTCCTATAGTTCTGAGGGTTTGATGCAGACCCATGATTAAAATTGGAACTTTAAAAATTATTGAATGTTTAATTTTATTAATTAGATCAATTTCCATTCCATCCATATGGATTTTCTATTTGAACTTGATTGACTTCCCATTGAGTCGGTGGAATCATTGTCTGATTACTGAATTGTTGTTGCCTTTGTAAATGCCAACAGTTTTGGATAGGGTGCTTTCCTCCACAAAATGTACATTGAACACCCATTTGTCTAGGTGATGGACATTTCGTATCAAATTGACCTTGTCCCTTACAATTATTACATCATACATTAGGTCTCGTCTTATGTCGTTTCTTCTTATCTTTAGCCGAATTCATGGCCAATTCTTCCATTTTTTTTGTTAGATTTAATAATAAGGCTTCATTTGGATCTTTAACAGTCACATTTGTGAACAACTTCGGTTGTTGATAGGTTGGCGATGTAAAATAAGGTGTCATCATTATTGGCGCTATTGCTTGGAGTGGTGTAGCATTAATTGGTTGTTGCAACATAACATTCTTTACATTGAAGGCAGCCATTTGTGAATAATTATCCATCGACACATTTTCTAATTGTATTTGTTGGCATCCTAAACTTAGAATGATTGTGGCCCCCACTGTTAACAATTGGTCATAATGACATTCTTCCCATACCTTTGCTTGTGCCAACGATGTCTCTACCGTAGCTGCTCGAGCCTCTTTTACAAAGATTTTTAATTCTGGTTGATGCAAACCGTTAATTAATATCGACAATATAAACGCATCAGACATTTGATTATTTGACCATTTACGAAATATATCCATGATCTGGCCATAATAGGACTCTACAGATTCCTCCGCAAACATCTTCCTATTCATAAAACTTTCTCGAAGTCAATCTTCAAATCCAATTGGTCTAAAATGGATTAAGAAGGCATTCCTCAAGGCCTCCCAATTGGGAAATCTACCTACTGGTTGCCAAATATACTATTCAAAAGCTGTATCTTTTAAAATTACTGGCAACCATCTCAATTAAATGTCTTTAATTCTACTATTATTAGCTACGCAGGCTGTCAAAAATTGAGATATATAGTGATCGAGATCAGAGCCCAGTCAACCACTAAAAGTAGGTAATGGTGCCACACTTGTAGTTCGGTCTCCTACTGCTCCCATTTGTACTGCAATTGGTACTTCTAGCACTCTCGCGGCCATTGGTGTTATCACTAGTCTCTTTATTATTTGAATTTGAATATTTCTTCCTTTGGTTTTACTTGGACTTGTAATTCTTTTTTGTCATTCCCGTAGGCTATTTCTTATGCATAATCGCTCTTGTCTTTCTTTTGCTTGTCGATTAATTCTTTGATAATCCTCTCCTCCTGTGATTGTCATTCATAATCTTTCATTCTTCTTAATAAAATCAATACTGCCTTGAATTATTACTCTCATATTTGTAATCCTAAAACTAGTTCTTCTCACGTTCTCATTCAGCATATAATTCCATCTCTCATACAATCAATTTCTAACATTTCATATTGTTAACATTTTCCCAGCAGCGGCGCCAAAATGTTGTTCTTGTTGCGTTCAAGCTTCAGTAGACCAAAGCAATTGAACTAATAGAGGTGGGTTCGAACACGGGAAAAGACTGGTTATATGAATTGGGTTTGTTAGTGTTACAATAGACTGTACTCTGCCTATCTAAAATCAATTATCAAACTACAAAACACCGAGGCTTACTACTTCCGTCTTAATTCAACTTATAATCCATTCTACAATTATCAATTCAACAATACTTCTCTCAATCACAATTCTTCATAAGCAAATAATAAAAAAAACAAAGAAGTAGTACCAAGCTTACCTCGGCTTACGACTCTCACTTTGGCTCTCGATTTATGACTCTCAGTCTGGCTCCCGGCTTATCTTTCCTCAATCTATTTATCCTACTAAAAGATGATCCGTCGGCCAACGGATTCCAAAGGTTATGATCCTTTGAATTCTTAACCATGTATTCCACTAACAACCTAATGTTACCAACTAAACTGCCTAACCATCAGTCTAATTCTCAAGATTGTCAATAACCAACCAGTAACTTACCACAAAGTTTATTTACCTATTCTACAAGGTGAAACATTGTCTATAAAGCTTCTAGGAAGCTTTTCTAAAAAATATTATGAAATTAATCTACTTGTATCTACTTCTATTTATTCATATTACTTAGATAATTATTAAAATAAATATGTATATTTGTCACACATCATTAGCTTCTACCACAAGCTATCTACATGTATAATACATGACTAACTTCTTGATTATGCTCTAACCTATCAATCAACTATAAACATCTATAAAGTCAAATACACATCTATGAAGCTTTTAAGAAGCTACACTATAGATAATATCAAATCTACCTACATTCACCTTCTATCTAATACTTCTTATTTAGGTAAATATATTTGTCAATGATACTAGATGGTTTACATGTGAGAAGTATCTATTGCCAAATTACAAGTTAAAATCTTCCAATAGACCTTACAAAGGAGAATAAGATATTTATTACATATAACTTGTACTACCTTCAAAATTCCATGCATCCAATGAAATCCTTTCTTTGTGAGTTTCTATCTTAAAATTTTTTTAGGAAGCTACATAAGGTTACTTATTTGCACCAAATCTCATGAAATAGATTTAAATTAGGAACTAGTAAAGAAGAAAGTTGCCTAATTGTGACAAAACACTATTATTGTGTATTTTGTAGGTAGAAAATTAGTAGATTCTAGTCTCAAAATTTAGAAGAAAGATCTTAAACAAATATTGGAAGGTAATGTCTCTATTGCAAACAATCTAGGCCAAAGTTATCTATACTTAAAGATATTTGAATATTTTATTTTTTAATATTTAGAGAAGATAGGAGATTCTTTTCATAAATAGGGACAGAAATGAATTTCTATCTGTAATAATTTTTATAATATTTGTTCTTCTAAAAATGCTATAAAAATATGTAAATATATTTATTTGAAGAAATTCAAAGAAAATACATATATATTTAGGATATTATTAATGCCACCACAATTATCACTCTTCCTACTACAATTATTACTCTTGCTCCTACAATTTTTTACTATTGCTAGTACAACTTACCACCTATTCAACAATTTTTTTTTATTTTTACTTAATTATAATGAAAAAAGTAATTTAATTTTTTCCAATTTAAATAATATGAAAATGATAAAAGTAGCATTTTAAATTAAAGTAAAATATTATTATGTAAAATATTAAAAATGATAAATCATATATATATATATAAGAAATTATTAAATAGATCCACCCTTCTCAACTCACTCAGTTGGAGTTCAAATAAAAAGCCGTCGGTCCGTGATGATGAGGGAGAGAGAGAGACTATTACATCGCATTAAAGCCACCATATGTTACAACAACGAACAGTCTATTTATCCTCCCACAACTCATGTTATTGTTGTTATAGACTTCATTTATTCATCCATGCAGGTTGGTCTAAGTTGTAGAAGCACCGCATTCTGGATGCTTCGAGGAGGAAGAGTAGTAGTAGTCTCCCTCACTCTCTCGCACATCTTGTGGGGGAGTGTTTGTTTCTCTGAGTTGAGTTAGTTAGTCAAGTTCAGCTCAACCCGAAGGCACAATTTCGGATGTACCGGAGTTCAATCATGCTCTCCGCTCCCTTCGTCCGCCTCGTCAAGTACCCTTAACTGATGGCAATATGACTTTGAATGAATGATCCACAAATTAGCAATTTAACTTAGCAGCGAGCGAAATTGGTGGAGCTCTTACGATTAAGTAGTGATAATGCTTTGGTCACGTGTTTAGGGTTTTCGCTGAGGATTTTCGAGTGGCGCAATTTCGTGGATTCGCACTCGATAATGGTGGGGATGGTTTTAACTCTCAACCTTGTCTTTTTATTGGACTTGTATAGATGTCTTGCTGTAAGGGTTTGTGCCTCATTCCCGTAGCTTATGTGCAATCGATCACCGACAGTGGTGTCTACATTTGCAAATTGCATTGGGCTTGTGATTAGTGTAACGCCTAATGTACTTTGTAACTTGAATTTTTCTTGGGTGTGTGTGGGCCAGAGATCGAAAGATTGGAGCATGTAGTTGCCCTTTTTTTTGTTACTCATAGTACTTAGGGCGCGAAATTGTTGTTCGGCATGGGTAGTGATGCGGATTTAACTGACTCGGAGTCAGGTATTCTTTTCAATTCTTCTACATTTGTGTTGATGCATTGTTCTCTCTACTTTGTCTTACGACAATGGAAGAGTCGGGTTTGCCCAGATTGTTTCGATGACGAGATTCGGTATAACTTGTGGGTATTTCTAGTTTCTTGCTGGGGGGCATTTTTTTTATGTGGTTTACTGCTCGGAATTGTGCAACATCGAGGTTCTTAGGGTTCAAATAAGACGTCCCTATTACTGTATTGCTCATATTGTGGCAGCTTCATACCACGTTCAGAAGGAGGATTTGTGCAAGCGGAGGTCTCCACACCCGTAGCAGGGCCTTCGCCGTCAGGGAAAGGTAAAGGGCCTGCCAAGCCTGCTGGTGGGAATAAGAGTTCAAGGAAAGTTATATTAAGAGAGCCAAGCCCTACTAATGACGAAGAAGGTGACGACGAAGGTGATGCCAAAGAGAATGACGGGCATGGGCCTTCTGGTAGGGCTGTTGCCAAGGGTAGTGCAGGGAAGGATGATGAGGAGGAAGAAGAAGAGAACATGGACCATGAAGAGCTAGGGAAGTACCAGACAGTCGACCCTGATAAAATGCGGTGAGTTCGACCTTTTTCAAGGCTTTTCGCTTGTGCTTCGAATGCAATGTTGGTTGCTCTAATTGCATCTCCATGTTACATTCCAGATTTTGGATTTAACGGTGTTTTGACGTGCGATCTTCCCTGTATTATAGGGCTGTGCTAGCTACCTTCACCCCTGAACAGATGAGTCGGTATGAATGCTATCGACGTTCTGGCTTTCAGCGTGCCAACATGCGGCGCGTGAGTTTCTGCCATCTTATGTATATGCTTACGTCTCAGCATCATTTTGACTTTAAAGTTCGAATAGACCACTTTTTTGTTTCTCACATATTCTAACAAGTTCTCATGTGTATTGGAGGGTGGAAACAGTTGCTTCAAAGTGTATCAGGTGGTCCAGTGTCGGTTCCCATGACCATTGTCATATCTGGAATAGCCAAAATGTTTGTTGGGGAGCTTGTGGAGATGGGTATTACTCGCTATCCACAAACCTTGGAATGTGCTGTCAGCACTTGCTATTTTTAGAATTAGTTATTCTGCTCATATCGTAATCTATTAAGTGAAGGTGTACTGTGGAAGTGCCAAGGACATACTTGGGAGTGGTATTATGATACTTGCTTCTTTTATATCCCGTCTATTGAGGTTCTTGTGCTTCTCTGGTAATTTGTAATTTTTTTCTTACAGAAGAACACTACCTGAGGGTTTGGGTGGCTACAATAATTGTGAAAATTTTGCGAAAAGTTTGTGAATAACCTGTTTCAGTAGCTAGACAATAGCACTTCCATTGAGCTGTCTGCCATAATCTATGCGTCGACCTCTGATATGTGCATCGTAATCTTTCTTTGGTTGCAGGGCGAATAGTGATGACCGAGAGGAATGATACCGGGCCTATTCGACCTACACACCTACGCGAAGCGTATCGACGACTGAAGCTGGAGGGTAAAGTGCCTCAACGTAACAGGCCCCGCCTCTTTCGATAGCCAACATGCTTGTGGGCATTTGTTTGAAGAATTACCTAACATCAAACCAGCGCTCAACAATGCAGCAAAGTTGTGTTAAATACTATAAGACGCATCGATTGCTCTGAAGATGAGGTGACGAGCTGGATTTCGTTCTTCAGTTCTCTTGGCCGATCCAAATGTGTATGTGAACAAGGAAAACAGCTCTGCTAGCGTCTCTTGAGGATGTATGGCATTAGCAATATGTCATTACCCAAGTAATCAATGAACATGAGCAGGTCGAGCTCTGCATCATCTTGTTTGTAAATCTTTCAGAGTTAGGATGGCGTTTCTGCAGAACACGCTATGCATTTAGAATCCAGCTAATTAGAATTCTTCAAGACACGGATGCTGCTGCTGGGGCAGGCGGAGGAGCATACGCCAGGTTAATTTAACTGTGATGAAAAGTATCTTCAATTCGACAAGAGCTCTGTTTTCATTAAACCATCTATGGATTGTTAAAGTAGTGTATTCATCTCACCAGGTGTAACCTCTACCTGGATTCCAGGCTTATGGGCTTTGATTTGTATTCCAGAAAGGTTTACTTCAAGTCACTCCCATCTCGACTCACCCTTGGTATACAATAGTTTTTCATCCAGACTGGCAGGTGGGTGTTGTGTAACGAAGCGTGGATGTTTCTTGCTCGATTTTTGGTGTGTGTTTCCCCTGAACTGGAAACTTTTGGAGTTCAGACAACTGCGCCTAACTTCTGTGAAGGTGGGACTTTTGGAAGATAATGCTGTATAGGCTTACCTTCAGAGGACTGTTTTCATTTGAGTTGAACTTCTCAACCTTTTTTCAATTGAAACGAGATTGAATGATTGTCTGGTCCATCAGATTGTTAACCAATGTGGACAAAAGAGAAGCACCGCAATGAAGCATGTTAAATTGCCTACAATTGCAGTTGATGCAATAATCAATTTTGGTTCAGCTCATATTCCACTTCCTTAACAATTCACGGCAGTAATTGCTCCTCCCTTTCTACTCTAAAGTCCTGCCACAAGTTCCCAATATAGCACTAGATTTGTCATGACAATTTCTAAATGTTAACAATAGTTGGTAGTTGTTGGCTAATTTACATCAATGAGTTTGTATTCTAATGTTAGGTCCTGTAGTTATTTTTAGATTGTGTGTGAAGGCTTATCATAAGGTAGTACTTGACCTCTCATAGCAATTATTGATTGCTATATTGATAGTTATTAGTGACCATTAGCAAAATGAAAGTGGCATGGTGTAAAACAACAATTGTTGTAAAATATGGTAATTTTTTCTATCATTTGTTATTATCACTATTCACTTGTTGTCCAAACAAAGTCTTACAAATAATCTTGATTTGACAAGGACTTTAATTGGATTAATTTTCTTTTTTATCCAATTATCATTGCGTATTATATTCAAGTCAATGACATATATAATAGTTATTGATAACAAAACAAAATTATTAATGTTTATTATTAAATAAATATAATTCTATCTTTTAATAAAATAACTTTCCATTTTAAAATTGTATCTATTTTATGTCCTACTAACAATCTCTATTTTGTACATGCTAGCAAACAAAGAATGTTTTAAACATATTTTATTATTTTATTGATATTAAGTTAATATATCTATTCTATTATATTTTTATATGATGTAATATTTGATAGATAATCCAACTTATTATAAGTTAGATTAAATAATATATAATATGTTTAATATTAATATTGACACAAATAAATAGTATCAATATTAATATTGTATCAAAGTAATATTATATTTTAGGTTTTTTTGTCAATTATACTTGACCCTAATATTGACACTATTTTAGAAATATACATATAGTTTACACAAAAAATATATATGTCATAGAAAATAATAATGGCTCTAATGTAACATCCAACACTAAGTAAAATATATTTCATCAAATCGACAAAAAAAACCATTTTGTTCAAATAAAATCATTTTCTATAATGCACAATGCATGTATCTTAACTTGGAATTAATGCAATTCTAGAGTTAACATCATTTTAACTTATAAAGCCTTTTGATCTTTAATCTATGATTTGTAAGAGCAACCTTGACAAGATTGTAAACCATCATTTTGATTAGTATAAGCACTACAAAATAATAACTTTGATTATGAATTAAGCACTAGAAAAGTAAGCATTAAAAAAAAGAGTAGGCCAAGAGATAGTTGTTGAGGTTAGAGATGCATGTGAAGCAATGGGAGGAGAGTCTTATGGAGTAGAGAAGAAAGAAGAAGAGGAGAATATAGAATGCCAAACCTCCTTATTTATTTAGTAAGGTGACATTGATTGAAGTCATCCAAAGACAAAAAACAATAAGTGGATACATACTCTATTAGCAAGCAAGTAGTGAATGAGACTAGAGGTATCAATCCATGCAATTGGCAAGTGAGGAAAACAAGTGACTTACTGCATGGTTCACTAGACCAAACCATTCAAAGTATAAAAAAAGACAATGGAGAACTGCACAAAAGAAGCAAAAGTAGTAGTCTTCTATTCTTAGGAGCTTCTATTGTTAGGACTCAAATTCGAGTGGCTTGAATAAGAGTTGAGTATACTAAATGTGAAATCCTATCTAAGAATAAAAAAAAGGTATCAAAGTGCATTACATCATGTGCATTTGCACATGACATCTAACCATTAGTTGGAAATGATGAATCAATGACCTTTTGATGGACATGCTTAATTCATCTAAGTCCAGCACATATTATTGTATAAAATCATATCTAGTATTAAAGAACTATTATTCTTTGTACTAAAGTGTTCTTTATGAAGTGCCCACTTGTCACGACTATACATAGGTATTCTAGTAAATACTTATATGATTAGGTAGGAATAGGTAAAAGTAGATAAAATATGTTAATTTCATAAGACTTTTTAGAGAAGCTTCCTAGAAGCTTCATAGTCGCTGCTTGACTTTATATGTGCTTATAGTTAGTTAATAGATTAAAAACTTGGTGAAGAAGTTAATTACATGTTAATAGCTTGCAAAACAAGCTAATTATGTGACATATATATAAAAAACTTGCCTTGCAAGTTAAGATACATGTCTTCCAAAGTCAATGAATTTTAGAAGTCTTATAGGACATCACCACGTAGCTCTTAGTGAAGAGTATATATGGAGGCAAGAGAAAAGCCTTCTTCACACTTGTCAATGCCTTTCTAGTCCGTAGTCTTATTTCAAGACTTTTTAGTCTTCTAATTATTAGCAATAGCCATTCTAGCTCAATCTTGTAACATCTTTGAGTGATTTTCTAGTTCTTTTCAATGATATAAGACTGTATTGAGGATTTTCTTTTTTCAAGATTCATATCTTTAATAATTTGACAAAAGTACTAATATTTTTTTTGGTCTAATTTTAGAAGTGAGTAGATTATTCTACTTCTAATATTTTATTTTGAAGGTTGTAGACTGTCACGGACACAGAAATACAGACTCGAGATCTAACAAGAAGTTCAAGAAGAACTGGCAAGAACTAGATTAATCAGATGAATACAAGAACAACACCAGAGAGGTGAGCTAGAGCTCCAAGAGATGTGTTGTCGAGACTAAAGAACTCTTCAGCCTCGATTCCAATATATACTCCTATTTAGGAAGCTTCTCAAGCAACTTCTATCAACTAGGAAGCTTCTCAAGCGACTTACACCAAATAGGAAGCTTCTCAAGCAACTTCCACCAACTAAGAAGCTTCTCAAGCAACTTCTACTAACTAGGAAGCTTCTCAAGTAACTTCCACCAACTAAGAAGCTTCTCAAGCGACTTCCACCAACTAGGAAGCTTTTCAAGCAACTTCCACCAACTAAGAAGCTTCTCAAGCAACTCCTATTAATTAGGAAGCTTGTCAAGTAACTTCCACCAACTAAGAAGCTTCTAGAAGGTTCCAGAGACTTGCTTCTAGAAAGTTCTAGAAACTTGTCTCTAGAAGGTTCTAAGGACTATGTCCTTAACATCACCCCGTCCTTTAGCTTCGAGGTCTCTGAGAAGCAATATTATTGTTAATCAGTACCAACGCAAGAAAATGAAGATCTGTCGTATAACGTCTGTTATGAACTCCAACTGTTGTTTATGAAGCAAGTGGTTCATCGGGCCTTGAAACCAACGATAGAAGCCCATGCCTTCGACTTCTGACCAAGTATGAACTTTCATGTCTTCATTGTGAAATTATCTTGCAAACACGCCTTCTGACTAACCATCGTAAGCAGGCTCGAATTCAAATACAATCACTAGTGATCGGTTACTCGGTATCCTCCGTCGTCGTCGTGGTATAGGCGATTCTTCATCTTGGGGTTACCTTCAAGAGCTAGTCGATTGAGATAATCTGACTGGCATAGTATCTATCTCTTGGCTATCCATATCAGAAGGTTATTGAAAAAATTCTACTTTATCAACTACGAGTTTTGGTGGTGCTCTCCCCCTTTCTTATATTCTTGGATGAGCAAGCTTCAGAAGGAAGCTATCGTCAAACCGGGTTAGGTTTATGAGGATGTTGTTGATGAAACTCTTGTACCTTTTGTGGCACATTAGTAAGATTTTTAGCTGATGCCCACGTTCGCTCATTAATATCGTAGCTGCACCAATGAACAAGATACTCCAACTTGCCTCATCTTTGCCGTGAATCCAACACCTTTTTGACCTCGTATTCCTCGTGGTTCTTGATCTCAATACTAGGTGGCGGACATTGCACTCTTCCAAGAAAGGACGACTCTCGATAAAGCTCCAACAGAGAAACATGAAAGACTGGATGTATCTTCATAGAAGCCAGTAATTCCAAACGATACGCCACTAGATTGATTTGCTTTTGGATGATAAATGGTCCCAATCATCGATAGTCCAACTTATCACATGGTCGCTTGGTCTTGATATTCCGTCAAAGAAGCCATGCTTTATCTCCAATTTTGAAAGTAGGTGCTTGATTCCGAAATCTATCTGCAGATGCCTTGTAAGATTCTTAAGCGGATTGAAAATTGAAGCTTCAACGTAGTTTGAAGCTCTAATAGTTGCTTCGTAAATCCTTCAGCTGCTAAATTGTTATTTGTTGACGGACTCAATAAATCAAGCTTTGGATGATACCCATAGTTAGCAAAGAATGGTGTGTATTGAGTCGACGCATGGAGGGTGTTGTTATATGTAAACTCGGCTAGCGACAGATATGCGGTCCAATCGTCTTGCTGATAGTTGATGCTGCATTGTAAGTATTGTTCCAAGACTTAGTTCACTCATTCTGTTTGGCCGTCAGTTTGAGGATGAAAAGTCGAAGAAAGCTTGATATCCACCTTTAGTATCTCAAAAAGAGATCTCCAAAACTTTGATACAAACTGGGTTCTCCAATCTGATACGATATCATCTGATAGTCCATGATATCGATACACATTATCGAGAAAGAGCCTTGCTGTGACTTCACTGGACGATGTCTTCTTGCAAGAAATAAAGTGCGCCATCTTTGTAAGCCGATCTACCACGACAAAGATGCTGTTAAATGAATTCGATGATAGCAGGTCCGTGATGAAGTCCATGGAAACTGAAGAGCATGGTCAACGTAGAATTGGCAATGGTTGTAGAAGTCTATAAGGGCAATGTCGAGGATTCTTAG